ACGGAAGTTTTCTCTCAGTTGATTAGGAATTCTTTCGGAAAAGATTTTTGTCTGGAATTGTGAGAACTGAAATTTTTAACATAGAAGCAGATGTTTGCGACATTTATGCATACATATATATTTAATGGAAAACGAAACTATCACAATTAAGATTTAATTTTTCGAAACCAAAACGGCAACACTGCCCTTAATTTCTTATTAATTTTTCGTCGATTTGTTGCTTTCTTCGGTAGTTACTTAAATACATGTTAACCTCTTGTTGCTATCCACACTTTTGTACCTTACGAATAGGTTTCGTGATTGACGGTATTTCTTCTTTCCTGTTGCTGCCGCTGTTACTTCTGTTGTTCTTGTTATTATTGCAGCTTCTGCTGCTACTTTTGCTTCTGTTGCCTGTTATGTTATGATTGAAATGACGTGAAGCCGGCTGCTGTTCTTGATGATGAGTTGATTACAGTTCAAATTATCAAGCGCGTTTTTGATATAACTCGCCTTTCATGCGGCAACTGAGATCAGCTTCAGCTATATGTATTATGGATGTATGGATGCTGCTTTAGCAGATCATCGCACCTCAGCGTAGTAGGCAAAATGATCGGCAACGGCAACAAACATTAGCATCAGAACCAACACAGCACAGCATACATAGCTTCAGCTACAGCTTCTACTTCAGCCTCATTTTCAGCTTAAGCTANACAACACAGCACAGCATAGCTTCAGCTACAGCTTCTACTTCAGCCTCATTTTCAGCTTAAGCTAAGGCGAATATCTCTTTGATGTTTCGTAGAAGTGCTTGTTGTTTACCTTTCGTGCACAAACTCATAAGTTATAGTCATGCAATTTAAATGTTGACTCTTGTGGCTCTTTTGTTTCTGATTTTGACAATGACAGGAAGCGATCAGGTACAAACAAAAAAAAACGTAACAAAACGACTACTTTTCGTCATTAATGTAAAGACTCCACAACCGAACAACTATGCTTAAATAACTTTTAATACATGTATGTATGTATGTATAGAAGTTTTTTTGTACATTTATTTGAAAGCTGGATTTGCACCAAAAATGGAACTGATATAATCATAAGACAAAGCCAAAAAAAAAAAACACGCGTATCTTGGTATTCAACTACTCATTTCGTCTAAGAANCCTCTTTTGTTTCTGATTTTGACAATGACAGGAAGCGAGCAGGTACAAACAAAAAAAAAACGTAACAAAACGACTACTTTTCGTCATTAATGTAAAGACTCCACAACCGAACAAATATGCTTAAATAACTTTTAATACATGTATGTATGTATGTATAGAAGTTTTTTGTACATTTATTTGAAAGCTGGATTTGCACCAAAAATGGAACTGATATAATCATAAGACAAAGCCAAAAAAAAACACGCGTATCTTGGTATTCAACTACTCATTTCGTCTAAGAATATTTTGACATCATGTGGAATTAATAAGTGGTATATCAGAAATTGCGTGGTTGAAAATTTTTGTACTTTTTGTATTTTCCACAAATCGTTAGAGGGTCGGTCACTCACTGTTCCAAAGCATTAAGAAATTGTATTCAATTCAGTCATTGATTTGGATTTTATGCCAATAGAAGTTTATTTGATCTGTGTTTTCACAGTGACATTCCGATCCAACTAAGTAGCAANATATTTTGACATCATGTGGAATTAATAAGTGGTATATCAGAAATTGCGTGGTTGAAAATTTTTGTNAAGGCTTAAATGATAGTTCCCTCAGCAGTGCTGATAATGAAGAGGAATAAATTGATTGCTTTCAGTTTGGAAAAGATAGCGAAGGTGAACACTTGGGGTAGCCCAACTGCTATCAGTCAATTAAGACCTTGGCTATGATTTATTTTTCCTTTTACTGGAGGGACCAATGTTAGAGAAATAAATGCTTCTTATCCCGGGAGAACAACTGCGGCTTCCAGCGGAAGTTTGGAAATTTCCATACGCGATCGAGGCAAGGTGGACCGTAGCGATGCTGCTGGTGTTCACACTGAACGAAGCGGAGCGGAGCGGTCGTAAGGATATCAGAAAACTTGCTTTCAATGAAAAACGGCTAAAGAATTTGTTCAATTTGTTTCAATAGCCCTCTCGAAAAATAGATTTTCCTTTAATTGTTTTGATTTTTTGTTCGCATCAGAAACATTAAGCGGAAAAATCAAAAAGATAATTGAAAATCAAAAAATGCTTTGTTTTCAGCTCCAAACCGCTTCTGGAAAATCTTGATGGATGAAAACTTTCATATACATATGTAGCTTCCTGTGTGAACGTACCCTAAGCCACTGAAATCATAATATACTACTTGGAAGTGTTCTTAAGCCGCTTGTTTTTTCGAAAAAGCACCTAATGGAAGATCGCTCGTGGGAACTGGTATTTTCATGCAAAACTGGGCAATCTAACGCCCAATTTTCACTGAAGATTAAATTAAATTGTAGGCATTATGCCTGCAACTTCCCCTACAGGGACTTTTTAAATTTAATTATTTGTCGTTTCAATGCTTAGTGAAAACTCGTTATAACTGATCTTAATGATGAAAAAGCATTTAATGTNACTTTTTGTATTTTCCACAAATCGTTAGAGGGTCGGCCACTCACTGTTCCAAAGCATTAAGAAATTGTATTCAATTCAGTCATTGATTTGAATTTTATGCCAATAGAAGCTTATTTGATCTGTGTTTTCACAGTGACATTCCGATCCAACTAAGTAGCAAATTAAAACATTTACATGTAAACTTCTCTAATCTGAACCTCTACTAAAAAGAGGCGTCCTCAGTATAGAGTGCTTGATACGCAAGCGCTAGGCGACATCTCTAAGTGAGCCAAGCACAAAAGCTTGGGGGTTAATCCATTCGAAACAGAATTGGTTTTGTTTACTAGAAAAACAAAAGCTCCTGCCTTTCCTCTGCCAAGACTATAGGGAGCTACTTTGAATCTCGGCACCGAAGTGAGATACCTACATACATATATGTAGATAGCTATTCTGTAACAGAAACTAAATTGCAATTGTTAAATAGAGAGTTATGAAGGGCCTAGTGACTTACTTAAAAAAATAGAGACTTTTGCCCTATAATATGTCTCATAGTATGTAGTACACCACAGTCATCAGACAGATTGTAACCCATGGAATCCAAGTCTGGTGTAAAGCTCTAGACAAACGGAACAAAAAGAAAATAATTGAGCGTTTTCAAAGACTCACATGACTCGGCATATCGGANTAAGAGGCGTCCTCAGTATAGAATGCTTGATACGCAAGCGCTAGGCGACATTTCTAAGTGAGCCAAGCACAAAAGCTTGGGGGTTAATCCATTCGAAACAGAATTGGTTTTGTTTACTAGAAAAACAAAAGCTCCTGCCTTTCCTCTTCCAAGACTATAGGGAGCTACTTTGAATCTCGGCACCGAAGTGAGATACCTACATACATATATGTAGATAGCTATTCTGTAACAGAAACTAAATTGCAATTGTTAAATAGAGAGTTATGAAGGGCCTAGTGACTTACTTAAAAAAATAGAGACTTTTGCCCTATAATATGTCTCATAGTATGTAGTACACCACAGTCATCAGACAGATTGTAACCCATGGAATCCAAGTCTGGTGTAAAGCTCTAGACAAACGGAACAAAAAGAAAATAATTGAGCGTTTTCAAAGACTCACATGACTCGGCATATCGGAAGCAGTGAGTAGCGCACCTCAAATGAGCTTTAGATCACATTCAACGAAAGCAAAGTCGTCTGAAAAGCCAACACTGACTATGTACATTAATCCAGTTCGGAGTATCAACAGTAGAATACCTATGCGGTTTTTGACCAAAAGAAGAATTGGAATACCAGTGGCAGATCGTGGTATAAGCATATACGCTGATTGTTTAAAGATCGAGTAAGGGAAAGACGCCGATCTTTAGTCGAAAGACCTGCGGGCCAGGCGAGCTTTTCGTTTGCTATGTGACTACNCTTTGAAAAGGTGCGGTCTAGCGGTCAATGACTTCTGGAGCAAACGGGATGATTTTGAGGTCTCAAGGCAATTTTAGGCGTGGTTCAACAGAAAAATACGGAGGATCTTCTGAAACTCAAGAGATCTGCAGTAAGAGTTCTTATCGGCGTCTTTACAGGGCGCTGCGGTATTGCACCAAGGCTTAAATGATAGTTCCCTCAGCAGTGCTGATAATGAAGAGGAATAAATTGATTGCTTTCAGTTTGGAAAAGATAGCGAAGGTGAACACTTGGGGTAGCCCAACTGCTATCAGTCAATTAAGACCTTGGCTATGATTTATTTTTCCTTTTACTGGAGGGACCAATGTTAGAGAAATAAGTGCTTCTTATCCCGGGAGAACAACTGCGGCTTCCAGCGGAAGTTTGGAAATTTCCATACACGAACTTCTAACCTAGCCTCTTTTTTGTTCGAATAATTTTCTGCTATGACCCGTAGAAAATTTATTGGAAAATCTGGTTCATGTTTTGACCACGTTCTAAACACCATGCTCTCTTTATATAAATTATCTAATCCGCGAACATTTTGACCCCCTTCAGTTGCATTGAATAAAGTATTATAAAAATCAGGGCATGTTTGCATAATTAAAGTATTACATTAGCAATTAATTTGAGGTAGTCTTAATAGCTTGGCGCGAACATAGAAAACTTGAACTTTAAGGGTGAGTTCACACAGAAATCTGAACGGCAAGCGAGCGAGGCAAGGTGGACCGTAGCGATGCTGCTGGTGTTCACACTGAACGAAGCGGAGCGGAGCGGTCGTAAGGATATCAGAAAACTTGCAATCTAACGCCCAATTTTCACTGAGCATTAAATTAAATTGTAGGCATTATGCCTGCAACCACCCCTCCAGGGACTTTTTAAATTTAATTATTTGTCGTTTCAATGCCTAGTGAAAACTCGTTATAACTGATCTTAATGATGAAAAAGCATTTAATGTACATATCCTAGCTTCATTGGAGTAAAATTTCTAATATGCATTTTTTTTGTTACTCTTCTCACCCCCAGATCCGATATCGTTTCGGCTTGTACGATGAGATCTCAGATGCTTTCCATAGGCCAGTGCGTAGCTGTAATTGGATACGCTTTCTGCGTGTTTCCAGCGTATGTGATTCTAATGTAAATATGATTTGTACGAAGGTGAAAGGTGAACCCATTTATGAAGCGATAAAACCGATTACGGCGCATCAAGAACTTGTTGTATTCTACCTGCCCGAACGACCCGAAGAGGTATTATTCATGCGAATGCGAATATCGATGTATCGACAAACGATGGATTCCATAATGAAAGGTAACCAACTATTTATACACTACTTATTAAGTGTGCTATGTAAATGCAATCCTTCGAAGTTGGCGCTAATTAAGTACATATTTGCCCATTATCTAACAGATTCACCAATCGACCTTTCCTCCTCCCTGCTGCATCGCATCTCACTACCCGTTTCACCGGTTTCGAGTAGTGAAGATGAACACAAGTCAATATCGAGTGATCTATCCGGTTCGGTGATATCATTAAATGAACCTGTAAGTGATGTTACGAGTATAAACTCAATAAACTGTGAAAAAGTCCGTGATCAGCGAACGCCGCAGCGAACAAGAATTGGTCGAAGTGAACGCTGTTTGCTGCCTTGTGATGTTTGCGGGAAGGCATTCGATAGACCTAGTCTACTTAAGCGACACATGCGAACGCATACAGGTAGGTAGGCAGTAAGAGGTGTCATACATACATACATACATACATACATATGTATAGGCATAATACATATTGTATAATTGCACCTGTTGTTGCATTCCTTTCGTTGCATATGTATGTACATATGTTTGCATGCATACATATGTGTTTTGTAGATATTTTTGATAGCCTGAAGATGCTGAGATTTTATTCGATTTTCGAGTAAGTAAGTAGTTTACGAGTGGCGACCAAAAACAAAATTTCTTTTATTACATTTGCTTTAAATGAAAATATTGCAATATTCTGTATTTCTTTAGCCAAAACCGTATGTACTAAGTACGACGAGGTTAATTTTGAACACATTTTTTAAATTGCAGGTGAGAAACCGCATGTGTGTATGGTTTGCGGCAAAGGCTTTAGTACGTCGAGCAGTTTAAATACGCATCGACGCATACATTCGGGTGAAAAACCGCATGAATGTCAGGTGTGTGGCAAGCGGTTTACGGCCAGCTCCAACTTATACTACCATCGAATGACACATATAAAGGTAAGCTTAAATTTAAAACATACATATTTACATACATACACACATGAATAGTTTAGCAAGTGTGCTCTCACATAAAGGGCTAATCAATAAGGATAAGCATAACGTTCTTTTTGAAAGTATAATTTAAATTCAATAGGTAGTAACATTTTAATGCTTCAGCTTTTTTTTTTTAAATTAAAACAAAAGAGCCAGTACATACGTTTTTAAGCAAGCCAATAAGATTTTTTATGCAAGATTTTTAGGTACATATAATTAAATTTATTTGAGACCATAATAAATTTTGGCGTTAACTAACAGTGCAATTCTGGCACCTGTCTTGCAACTCACCAAAGTTTTTGCAAAGACAAAAAATTTTCGTAAGACAAAATTGTAAATTCTGGCAACTGTACTGAAAGCTTATTTTTGGAAGACGAATTGAAAAGGTCTTAGCGTTATTCTGTTTGTCTTTAAGCAGTAAGTTTTCTAAAAATTACATTAAATAAAAAAATATATATTTCGTTTTAGAACAATAAAAACTTAAAATTAAAAGAAAAATAGAAGAAAAAAATAAATAAAAAATTAATTAAAAACAAAAGAAAAAAATAATTAAAAGCAAACGAAAAACAAGTTTTTAAAATTTACATTTGAATAAATATATATTTTTCTTTTTAAAACCAAATACACAAATTCAAAGAAAATTAAATAAAAAAATTATATAAAAATACGCATACGCTAAACGTAGCGTAGGTATTACCAAATAACGAAACGAATATTAATTCCTTCCAAAAGATGGTTCGGTTTTCGTTCCGGATCAAACATTTGTGGAAAATTTTAGTCCGGACAAAGGTTCAGTTAATTAGAAAGTTTTCCTAAGTTCTAAGCAGTCTAGATATGGGATAATTTTTATTTCTTTAATATTGTTTTGTTTCTCCAGTCATCCCTGCTTATGTAGCAGAGGCAATCCTCTTTTATTTTGGATAGGAAACAACTTTTATATAAGAGATTTCGGTGTGATACAATTTCCTTCTGGTATCTACATATTAACATTTTTATTAGCGATAAAATGCGATATCGATAAATATTGGTATACATAATTATTATTTGAAGGCCCGTAAAATAATTTATTGATAATTACAATAACAAATGATAAGCATAATCGATAACATAAGTAAACTTGGCGACAAATATATGGATAAAATATTGATAAACAAATATACCGATAACAAAATATTGATCGATAAACAATTGTCGATAAACACATTGATCGATAACCAAATTAATCGATAACCAAATTAATCGATAATGAAATTAGTAGATAATCAAGCTAGTCGACAACCAAATTAATTAATAAACAAAATCTATAAAATTGATCGATTAACACATTTATCGATATATATTTACAAATCGATACATTTGCTCAATGATCGAAATATCGTAGAATATATCGATATCTATACCGACATCGATATATACATTCATCGATAAAAATGTTTGCACATACATGCATGCATACTACATACATTTTTATGACCTTGTCGTAGAATTCGCTGAATAAATGAAAAAACGTCAAAAATATACCGATAATTATACCGATAGGTGTTGTATATACTAAAGATCATTAAAAATCATATTTATTACTAGGTACAATAAGTTCCAGAACCCTTATGTCCATACCGACATAAATATGTATATTAAACCATATGCACTTACATATTTTCACATGCCTATCATTTCAACACATTATACTAATACCCGTATTCCAAATTGTCATTTTTGTTTTAATTACAGGAAAAGCCACATAAATGCAACTTATGCTCAAAGTCATTTCCAACACCCGGCGATTTAAAATCACACATGTATGTTCATAGTGGCTCGTGGCCTTTTAAGTGTAACATTTGCTTCCGTGGTTTCTCGAAACAGACAAATCTGAAAAATCATCTTTTTCTGCATACAGGTTGGTAAAAATCTTGCTTTTCTGACATAAAATGTATATACACACATTTCTACATTGGCGCATATGGATGTAGAGAGTGTTTGACGAATTGTTTCAATAGCAATAAGTTGTTTTTACGCTTAATGTATCGACGAGTACTTATAAGTATAAGTACTCAATCAGCTTAAAATTTATTTCGTATGTAAATATATGCCATATATGTACGTACAAATGTACATACAGTATGAAGGTATGTGCCAATAAGTGTTTACTTATGTAGGTATATGGTACCTTTGTCTACTGGTACCTGTATACCCACACAGCAAATGACAGCACATTCGTATGTAAGTGGCGTAGTCCGGTGAAATTAAAAAATAATTTCTATAATATTTGCTATGAATTAATTGTGCAGCTGCAAGACTTTGAATTTTTGCGTTTTGAAAAAAAATTAACACATTTTTATGTATTGTATGAAAGTACATATGAGCGCAATTTTAGCTAACTTTTTATGATAAGAAATGTCTTCAAATTGCTGGATTACGCCGTTTGACATTAAAGCCCTTAAGCTTTGTTTTTGGCTTAGCAAATTTTAGTAATTTAAATCAAAGTAACTAAAGCAAAAACAAATCATAATAAATTTTTACATTGACATTGCAGGCAATAAGCCCCATACTTGTGAATTGTGCAACAAGAAGTTCGCATTAGCGTGCAATTTACGAGCTCATATGAAAACACATGAAGGTAAGTTGAACTACCACATTTTTTCATTATACCACGGCGCGCGCGCGCGCGCACACTCACACACAAACACACATGCATACGTCATACAGTGGTGGTCGAAACATTTGGAACTAAAATGAATATTTTAAGGTAAAAACTGTGTTTCATTTGGTTAAGTTTAATAGCTTAGTGCTGAGAGAGTATGTAAATGTGGCAAACAAATTTCATTTTTCTCACTTATCTCACTTCAAAATGTATTGAAAATATGCTGATATAGGGCATTTTTGAATCGGCAGCGGAGATAGGGCATTTTTGAAACGAATTCTGAAATAAAGCATCGTTCACTCAAAATCGGTACGCATGAAATGGGTTATATCTTTTTAATAGGTTTTCAGAAAATAATATTTAATATGTTAGAATAAAGAGAAAACATTCCGTTATAGATAAATGTTAGCGTGAGTTTCATATTTTGCTCGGATAAATAAATAAGAGACAATTTCTTTGATAATGATAAAAATTTTCTGAACACCCATTCTAGAGACTTGTGTAGTCAACTTGCTCTACTAAACTATCTTTAGTTTATGTTTTTCCACGGCTCGCACATCTTTACTAATTTTGTTTTAAATAAATACCATCTATTTTTCGATTTGACTTAAATAGATCATATTCGTAAATTGATGACTTCCAGAACTTTATTCGCATCATTGGCTTTAAACCGATTTAAAGTTACCTGTGAATAATTAGTTTTCATAAAAACCCACCAACACTTTGCAAAAGGTCCAAAGTAAATGACATAATGAAATAACACTTTGTGCAAGTGCTCCTTCCAGCATATTTCTGGGGTCATATGACCCATTGTGAAGTCTGATCGAGTTCTAATGAGACTGCCTCGATTCTCTTGTCATTTCATAGCCTTTTGACAACTGTGTCAACTTCTATAGATTTAGATGTAAGAGGATATCACCCTGTTTCTTTTTAGCTTAAAACTTTTAACGTGAGAGTTGACCGAAGTCCAGTTTTAAACATGTTTTATTAGTCATTATTATAAAATACCACATTTAGTGTGAACATTGGGGTAATGTAAACGGGTGCGGTTTTTGTTATAAAATGTATTTAATCTAACAGAATTTTATATATTATAACTCGATAAGGTTTAAGTCTTGCCATAGCTTGCATTCGCTGAACTGTGGATAACCGTTTTCCAATTCTCTCGCGCGATCTTCTTCTGATAAGCCATTTTGTTTTTTCTAATTTAGGTAAAGAGCCTTATCCTTAAGCTGGTGCGAAATGATGTCTTTTAATGATTAGCTCACCCCGTTAGTTTAAGCAGAATGAATCTATTCATTGATTTTTGGAGGATAATTATAAGTTTTTGGTATATTTAATTTTAATTTGATTTTTGATCTCGAAAATGTCGGATTTTCAACGAATTTGTTCAACATTATTTTTTGTGCAGCAATTTCCAACGCGAATAAAACTGTCAAATAAAAAGCCAGTACTATGAAATTTAAACCTCATAATGATAGATCTATTGTCTAATGATCTGCATTGCAACTTTTTAATACATTCCAACAATTGCTGTACAGAAATTGCTGGAACGCGTACCGATTTTGAGTGAACGATGCTTTAGGGCGTTCTTGAAAAGTTTTTTGAGATAGAGCGTTTTCGAACTGGCTACCGAGATAGGTCGATCTTCCACTCAGCCATCGATAATATTTAGTTGCAAACGTTATTAACCGTTCTGCTGGTTGAAACTTGCACTTCAATAAACTAAAATTGTGTGGGCTATAAAACTGCATACTCAAAAATTTCCTAAAGATTCAGTTAAAAAAGTTGAAATTTTGATGAAAATTTGTTGAATTTTCCCCAAATTTGTATAAAGTTTGTAATTTATATAGTTTCGGTTAAAGCTTACACGGTATTTTTATAGAAAATTAACAAACAAAAATTTAGCTCGAAAAACATTACGAATATTAAAAAAAAATCAATACGTGGCCCGTTGTTTAGGTCACTGTATATGACAGTTCCATGTTGGGTTGATGTACATATACATACATATGTCCAATAGACGACAAATTAAATCAGTTGCGTTTGATTGAGAAAATTAGGTTTTCAACAATATTACTTGCCATGGATGGCGGCATGCCTTGGTTTTCTCATATGGTGGTTAACCCGGAAGTTCTCCAAATTAAAATCATAGAAGTAACTGCCGTTCGGAGTCGGTGTAAAACGGTAGGTCCCTCCGCTTTGTGTGACATCAAGGCGCACGAGAAGCCTCGGCCAAACACTAACATACCCTGCAGTGAAAAGCCAAACCAGTTAGAAAAAATACTAGTTCATTAACTAGTATGTGCCTACCAGTTCGACAATTTCGAAGAACTTAGGCGATCAGCGACATCTGCCTTTGAATTGCCAAAGCCAAAAATAAAACGCAATTAATTGCTTTTCTTACAAATGTCGGCTGTGGCGTCACGTGAAGACTACTGGTTCTGGTTCTGAAATCGCAGGTTCGAGGCCGCTTGGAGGTGGTTAAGATTTTTAAAGTTAAATAAATGTAAGTAAAAATAATTTATTCAATTTATAAATAAATAACAAATTTGAAAATCTAATTNAAAGGCAAATATCTTAAAAAAGGCAAAAAAAGGCAACATCAAATGTGTATATATGGAATCAGGGAAAGCTACATTCTTCATCGAATATACTCTATCTCTTTAGCAAAAAAAATGCAATATCCATAAAATCCGTTCCTTGATTATTATTAACTGTCAATTATAGTAAATCCTACATTTGAGACATTAAATTTTTATTAAGAAGCAAATAAAAACTTCGGTAAAAATTATCCAGAAACCTACCCCATACCCCATACCTTCCCCGATACCTACAAACTTAAAAAATAGTATATATTGGCTAATTTCATGCAAAATATAAGTTGCCTGTAAAATCGCCTCATGTAAATACAGTATAATGGCAATGACAAATAGTATATTAACTGCAAAAAAATTAAAAAAAAAACAAATATTTCTTATTTCATCATCATTTTGTCCCAATCATTGTAGAAGGGTTAAGTTGTTAAACCAAATGAAAGGAAGAGCTTTCCTTGCGACATTTAATCTTCTAAAGATTTCTTCAGATTTGATGCAGCTTTGGTTTACCACTTTCCAAAGGTTTCCAATTGGATTGAGTTCTGATATTTGGGCCTGCAATCTTTAAAATTTTCACCTTTTTAAAAGTTAAGCATAAGACAAAGAAATGGTATCTATTCTTCGTCGGAGGGATGCATAACAACTGCCAACTCTTCTATAGAAGTTGATTGATCCGTTATGCAATAAATTCTATTTAGTTGGCTTCTGCTGCACAAAAACACAACCACACATCTCACTCTCTGCTTGATGTTAGATCGTAGTAGTAAATATGGGTGCCAATTATTACTTTTGACGCGATTGCATTTAGAAGTTAAGAGGCTGACATGGTAATGCAATATATTTCGAAAAGGCTGTCATGTAAAGTGTCTTTCGAAAGAGGTTTTTTATTTCCGAAAGGCGAATTGCAGATTGCTAGTACAGCAAGAGCAAGTTGAAATATATGTATTTCCGAAATCCATTTGCGCTCTCTCAACTGCAGTCACATGTTGCAACTTTTATTTCTGAAACTAGGCTAGCATTTCAAAGATTCCAAATTTCAAATAGATTAGGGCTGGGTTTCATCAGATTCATTTAAGTGAATATATATTTTAATTTTCGAATTTTTTGTTTTACCCATCAATTCTAATTTGTTTTTAATTTTGATTTAAGTGACCTATGCTATTCACTTAAATAAAAATTAAATCGGAATAACCACACTCAGCGATGTTATACGTTCAATCAGCTGATCACCTGCTCTTACGACCATTTTAAGCACGGTGTTGCCATATTTTTACTAGTTTAAATAAAAAGCTTATTGAAACTGAAAAAAATTTATTTGAGAATTAAATTGAAAATTAAATTAAAATTAATTTTCATTTAAATGAATCTGGTGAAATACGGCCTAATTGTAGCATGACCCAAGTGAGCTAGTCTGCGCCTAGCAAGAGTGACACATTCACAGAGCTTGTGTCCTGGCGTTTCTTCGTCGAGTTTACAAAAGCGATGAACGTTTATTTCAAAGATTAATTTTAATGAGGTGATAGCGAAGGGAACAGTGTCTAGTGTAGTACCCAGTGAGAGTTTTGAGATCCTCTCTGCCTAAGTGAAATAAATAGATTCTTTGAAGCTTCATTTGAAAAATAGATAAATCGTTTGGCTTGTCTCTGCCCTGCACATTCCATCCAGTGCCTGTTGAACATATTGTCTATCCAGTTGTTTATGATCCACTTTATGTGTGCTTTGCTGAGCCCACAAAATGTTTCCGGACCATAAAATACTGCGGTAGCTGCTTAGTATCGCTGGGCAGTCAGCCTCCTCATTGCCATCATGTCCTTCATACCTCGGTACCCATTCTAATAAAACTGTATTCTTAGCTCCAAGACCGTTTAGGACATTGAAGCAAACATAGCTGAGAATTTATTTTGTGTGAGTGCAGTGTCAGTTGGGCTGCCTGACTGTCCAATATAATGCAGATACATATATTTCGATGATGTGCTTCTTTTAAAGCACTCTCTGCCACAAATTTCTATTACAAGAATCTCCGTTTGAAAGATGTTGGTATCGACGTTTTGTGTTTTGGATATGTCTTAAGCGAACGCCAATAGAATCAGTATTTCTCAAATAAGCCACTGCAACATGTAGATAGAATTTTAGAAACGTAGTTCCATATGTTTTGACCACCACTGTACATATATACATATGTATGTATGTATATTCACATATGAATGGCCACAAGTGTACAAGTGCATTGGTTTTGTTTTTGTACATACATACATATGTATGCGTGAATGTGATTGCAGCAGCATCGTGCAATACAATGCAGCGCAGCGCACTTCTAGAGCACAGCATTAATTTCCATTCTTAACTTCAGGTGATCCACAAGATGAATGTGTTCGCTGCGGCAAGGTGTACGTTACACTAATGCAGGGAGTCTGCACAAGGTGCTCCGATTCGAACAATTCAACTGACACTGACAACAAGACTGGTTTTCAATCGGGAGGCGATACAACCACAGAAGATGAAACCTCAAATGGCACAACGGAATGTAGTGACAAGTAGGATACAAAAAAATAAAAAATAAAAATACAAAATAACAAAAAATGCACAAAATAAAAAAACCGAACACGATAACGATAACTACATGCATTCGTACTTACATACATACATACATACATACACAAACAAATATACAAACTATAATGACTGCTGCTGTAAATATATAAATACATACATACACACTAAATATGCACATATTATCTATAAGCATAAAAATGGGGCGAAGAGGGGGTGTACATACACACATATGTACATACATATGTACGTATGTATGTATTTTTGTCTAAGTGTACATATTCTCTTACTCTACTCTAAATATACTACATACATACTAAGTAAGCACTAGTCGTTAAGGATATTTATAAATCTGTTTTTTAAGTGACATTACAAAGCAAGTATAGCACAAGCCAATAAAATAGATACTGAAGATTTTTTGTCCAAGTATGTATAACTGAATGGTAGTGTTTGATGTTGCACCGCGTCATTGGAAACGTCATCGTCATCGGCGGCGTCTGCGTTGGCGTCTGCGCTCCGTTGCCGTCGCTATTGTCGGCGAATTTGGTTTGTATGTCTTGCATGATTTTTGTTTTGTTTTAGCACTTACACACATATATATGTACGTATAATTCAATGGCAACAATGTTTAGACAGCTTTTGTCGGCTAATTGGACACGCGACAATTTTTGATAATCTTCTTTTTTTTCAATGGCGGGTTTGACCAAGTGGAATACAGCGTTCTTCATTCTCGTCAAAATTGGTTTAGCTAAAAAAACGGAGAAGGTCTCGAAATTTTAATAAAAATAGATACTTTTTAATAACGAGGTGCGTTTTTCAATATTCGAAATGTCGGATCTAATATGGCGGAAATATATAAAAAAAAATCATTGGATTCACCTCGAAATTGTTATTGGGGGGTTTTTGGGGTCGCTGATCACGAACCCGGTGTTATTTTTCAAATTTTCAAAGTCACGGACCCAATATGGCGGATAATTTTTAAAAATTTACTCGGATACTTCAGAAAATTGTCACTCAGATTCGCTAATTTTGAAAACTAACACCGGATTCGCAATTAGCGGTCCCAAAAACGGCCGGGTAAAAATTTTGAAGTGAATCCAATTTTTGTTTTTTTTTTTTTAAGTTAGCCGCTATATAATATTCGCCATTTTAATTTTTTAAACACTACTCGAAATTAAAAAGTATTTATTTGCATTAAAATTTTAAGACTTTGCCCGACTTTTTTGTACCTAAACCGATTTTCGCGGGAAGGTAGCTTCCATATTTAACTCTAAAGAGTGTCCCTACCCCAGAATGCCCAAGACAATCTGGCTTCCTTAATCAATGCTAAAAGGGCCTGGGTAGTCGATGCTGGACAGTCACAAAGGATGAAGACACATACTTATGCAATCTGATTAAAAAGTCGTCAACTACAAGTGGCCAGAGCAAGGGGGAAGAACCCCTCCCTGCGGTCAGCCTATCACGGGTCTGATCTTCACTTGAGTGCTACCGAAGGACGAGGTGATTTCGCATTCACGAAGCATAACATCGATCCAGCGCACAGTAAATGAATCTAAGCATCAATGTCCAAAAAGGTTTGCAGAGCAATCTCCTTGGCCTCAAAGATGCTTTCGATCTTACTTACCATACACCGTAGAGCTAAATCAGTTGATTTGTCTTTGATATAAGCGAATTGAGCAATTAAGTTCTCAGCATTAAATAAAATCTATCACACAGTAGGAGTCGAACGATTTCGATAAGTCCATCCCAAATCTGACTGATCTGGTGGTTTTTGCTTAACCAAATTTTTACCCAGCTTCGTAGAGGGGGAATTTACCGGTTCTAAAGACACACTGATAAGGTCTAATCTGTTCGATGATCATGGGTTAATTGGGTCTAAGTGCTGCCTAGCAATATGTTCAAATACAATTAAGGATCCCAGAAATGAAAAAACCAGCAATGAGAGAACAACACTGGCGGCGATCAGCAGGATCACGAGCCGTCCAAAGAGCACGTTTGTTGGGTCTACCATAAGTTGAGCTTCGCGACAACAATTGAAGCATTTATCTATTCCAAACAGGGTTGAGTAGCAGCTACATCAACAACAACAATAGAAATACGACAGGCAAGGCGCTTACATAGGAGATACATATATGTAGCTTAAAATTATTCCAGTCAATCTCCCAAATGAGAATCTGAGAATCATCACATCGCGGAATATAGGGTCACTTGCACAAACTAAATAGGAACCTAATCAAACTATCTGTACCGCATCCGTGACTCGACCAAAGATACACCTTCTAGTTAAATACTATGGCATTTGCAGAAGGCACCAGAAAACACAGGCCGTTTCCTCCATACCTTATAGTGGTATCTACGAGGAGCTTACGTCATTATTATCTGTATCGAACGACGACGAATGCTTTAAAAATTTATCTGACGATATCACTCTAGCCGGTCATTCCGTGGGCTATTGTTGGAGATCGATAAAAAGGCTGTTACTTTCAACAAAAGTGCTGCCAATATACCCTTAAGTATCATTGCGCATCTTATACATATCTATCTAAGAGCTTTAGTTTTTCACACAATGCACCAGTTAAGACTTTATATATGTTGTCACGCGGTAGTTATCGCACACAGAGGGCCAACCTTCATGTAGTCTGGTTAGAGCTCACTAAAATTTTGATGATGCATGTATCTATCTTATGACGTCCTCGTCGTTGTACTGAAATAGCTCAGCTATAAAGACATCAGCTCCAACATCGTTGTTGGTCTTCAGTCAAGAAATTCTTTGCTGAATTTTCTCATAGTAGTTTGGTTGGACGTTGACTGGGGCGTCGTTGATTAAAGATACATATACAATTTCGCCGGTAGCAGTTATTAGAGTTCTTACAGCCTTTGTTCTCTTTAGCATGTCGCTTTCATTTCCGAACTGACATTTCAAATAAAAATTGAGGTACATTTGAAATGCATTACTAAAATCGAAACGGTAATAACCCGATGCACGCTCTTTTAGTAAAAAAATATTTAGAGGTCGCTCAAAGCGCTCAAAGTTTTCCATGTATTTTATATGGGAAAAACTTTTTTCGTGGAAATGGTATAGAATTCTTGAAAATCTATATTTTTCAATCAGAAAACTGTTTATCTTGAGGAGACTTCCAATAATAATGTCCAATTATTTATTTTACCATTTTTTAATTATAATTTGTTTTTTGGCGCCATAAAAATTGTCCATGTTAGAAAATGGTTAAATAAACAATTTATATTAGTATTGAAAGTCTCCTGAAGAGAAACAAAGGTTTCCGATCGAAAAATATCGACTTTCAAAATTTGTATACCATTTCTACGAAAAATTGAATTTATTTTTTTAAGCGAATAAAGTTCGAAGGATGTGGTCGAGTGAATAATTAACTTATTTACCATATAATTTTTTTGAAAATAATATAATAATATAAGGATATTCAATGATAAAATGTTAAAAGGACATTTTCAATACCTAATCGTCTTTATGCACCAAAAAATGTAGTCGGGCGTAATTCTACAGAATTTTCTCTTTAATTTGATAGTCATACTGTGCATTTTTAATACTTTTTTGAAGTAATTATATTTTTAAAATTTCAAAGTAATTTTTAATCGAAAAAACAAAACCCACTTCAATTCTCATATGTATAAAAATTTAAGATTATCGTTAATTTCTTCACGATCCAATTATCGGAAAATTAGTATGGGACCACCCTTGAGGTACCACCTTTCCGATGAAAAAAGAATTATCGAAATCGGTTAACGTGGTCAAAAGTTATGCGGTAACGTACACACAAAAAAAAAATATTCCGACTAACCTTCTCCTTTTTGTGAAGTCGGTTAAAAATCCTTACATCAGAGATAAAAACACTAAAAACGCAGTTTTACTATATATATTTGGTCCATGGTTTCGCGAATATCTAAAATGTTGTGTGTGTAAAATTTACTGTCGCACGGTGTAATAAGGTATTTTACATTGAACCAGAAATCCCTACAAATCAATGTTTGAGCATAAAATGGAAAAATTGTAAGCAAAAGCCATACACTAGCATTGTCGTCATGCGACGAACAAATATATTGCCTTCGGTAATCAAAAATATGTTTTCGGCGCTTTTTTCATTGATATAATAAGACTCATTGCTTGACAGTTTAATACCTACATACTTTCGTTAATAAATCATTAAATCTGTGCATATGTACACCGGTTGTTAGCTAATTAGAAATGGAATATTTTGACCAGTTTTGACTACTTCTCTTTTGTTTGTTTTTATGTTCATTAATCCTACTAATATTATATGTACATAAATGTGAAGGTTTGTGAGTGACAATTTGGCACACAAATAGCTCATGACGTGGTTTAACACATAGGATATTTTTTAGGAGACTTGCCATCTTTTTAAAAAATTATAATCAATTAACTAATAGTTTAAATAAAATATTACAATGATGTGCGTATCAAACGAAAGGCATTCTAAAACAATTTAGTTGGAAATAATTTTGAAGAGGGTTTGGCATCTGTTCAAAAAGATAAAAAGTTAATTAACCAGTTAAAGGAAATATGTTTATATGGGTATCAAATGAGAGGTCTAAGAAAGCTTTTTTTTCGATATTTTTAAGAGAGACGAGAAGTTTAAGAAAACTTGTTTTGAAAACCTTTTGAAGATGGTTGCCAAATGTTTAGAAATTCAAAACCTATTTAATAACAAGTTAATTTCAATATTTCGTTTGGGTATAAAACGAGAGAGGTTTAGAAAGATTTATTTCGAAAATATTTTTGAGTAGGTACCACCTGTAGTACAGCCTGTTTAGAAATCCAAAACCAATTTAATTAATAAGTTAAATACAATATTTTTTTTGTATGGTTATCAAAAGAGAGAAAGGTTAATTTCGAAAATATTTTTGAAGAGTGTTGCCACATGTTTAGAAATTCAAATAAATTTAATGAAATCAAATTAAATATTTGAATATGTGTGCCAAATGTAAAAGGTTTAAGAAAGCTTAAATTCGAAAATATTTGTGATAAGAGTGGCCAGCTATTTAGAGATGAAGAATCAATTGAATTTGAGAAGTTAAATAAAATATTTTATTATGATTGCCAAGCGAGAGAGGTTTAAAATAGCTAAATTTCTAAAATACTATTGAAGGTGTATTTATAAAAAAAAAATGTGAAGGGGTTGCCACCAGTTCCAGTTCAATTTAATGAGTGAAATTAAATGAAAAATTATAATGCGGGCGTCTAAGGAAAGAAGTTAAAGCAAATTTGTGTCCAAAATATTTTTGAAGAGAGCCGCTAACTTATATATTTACACCAAATTAGTTTGAAAGCATTTTGCAATGGAGTTGCCACATTTCCAAAATTTATTCAAACAACCTTTTCCGAGTACGTTAAATGAAAGAAAAAACATTTTGCATTGATACAAAATTAAATTTATTTTCCTATATATAAAGAATACCTACGAAAGGTAAGTTCTTTTTCATGAAACGGCTTAATTATATTATTTTCTCTTTCGAAAAAGCTTCGATTCTCTTCAAATTTAGAAATCGAGTTTAATCTGAAATTTGGTTCATGCCTTATCAAAGATAAAACTAAATTAGCCATAACTGGGCAGTTAAACAAAATTAAAGCAGCTAGGTAACCCGACTCGTATTTGAAAAACCTCGTCACCACGAGATGATTGGTATTTAAGGCTAAAATAAAAAAGTCTAAAAATTTAAAGAAAATTAAATGTAAAAAAATTAACTATTTAGCAATGTTTTTTTTTAGCTTTGTACCACGATTTGTTTGTGAGAAAAATTGGAATAAACAACAAAGTCTTAGGGCCGGTTGCTCAAAGCCTGGTTGACACTAATCCCCGGTTAAACATCGTTATCGACGTTACTGACACCGTGTTATATGTATGCTTTTTCTAGAAATCGTGGTACAAAGCTCAAAAAACATTGCTAAAAAGTAAATATTATAACGGCACAATAAAAAAAAGANGTAGAAGTTAATCACATCTCATCAGACTTCTTTTTCTAGAAATCGTGGTACAAAGCTCAAAAAAACATTGCTAAAAAGTAAATATTATAACGGCACAATAAAAAAAAGATTTATGTTTAAAAATTTTGAATTTAAAATAAATTAAACACGTTTCTGAAAACTAAATGAAATGAAAAAAAAAATTTTAAATAAAATCTTTGTATTAAAAAAAAATATATTTCAAATTTTAAGTTACAAAAAAACAAAAATAGATAAAATAAGTTTCTAAAAATTAAATTAAATATATTGAACATTTTTTAAACAATAAAATCTAAAAATTACAAGAAAATCAAATAAAAAAAAGTTTTCTTTTTAAAATAATAAATTCTTAAAATCAATAGAAAATTTAAGTTAAATCTGCCGCGCGAGTACTCGAACCTCGGATCCCTCGAATGGCATGCCAAAAGAGCTTTTCACCACGAAAGTTGGCTTTTTTGTAAGACTTTCGTTCGAAAACAAACAAAATCTTTTAAAACACAAAATACTTGCAACTGTCTTAGCCCAAATTGGCCTGTTAGTGTAATAAATTGCATGTTTGAAGTTGCTAAAAAATTCCGTTTATTTTTGATAATTTGTTTTTGCTGACGGTGTTACGCACTTTCTTCCCAACAATTACAATTAGGGGATTCACAATTCGCGTGTTTGTAAAGTAATGCCTTAAAAATATATGGCATTGGATAAAGCTATCATGATGAACATGTTGTTTCCGACGCCATTCGCACAATTGATATTATTTTTTTACAACGACATATTTATGTATTACATATCTTATCATAATTATTTAAACCCACAGGTAATAGTTAATAAATTATGATTTTTGATAATTTTTTTGCTGACGATGTTACGAATTTTTTTCCATACACACGCAAAACATTTAAGGCATTCACAATTCGTGTTAAGCGTCGCAATGTCTTAAAGTCTTAAAATTTTTCTATGTAAAACAACGGTTAAAAGCGTTTTAAAAGATTTCCCTATAAAATAAGAGCCAATAACACATTTACGATTAAATAGTTTAAAAACCTTTTCTGGTGAAGTTACGAATTGCCTATAAAAGTATTAACCGTTATTTTACGATCAAAAAAGCATTACCACGCTTAACACGTCTTGTGAATCCCTCAAATGTTCGACAATTTTTTTTACATGTATGGATGAAAATGCGTAACACCGTCATCAAAAATTCTAATTTTTTAACTACTACCTTTGGGTCTAAATAATTATGATAAGATATGCAATACACACCTATGTATGTAGATATGTATGTCGTTATAAAAAATGTCATGATCCCATATATTTTTATGATTTATTTAGTAAAATCAGTGACCCCAGTGGTTAGACAAGCTAATAAGGCATTATTGATCTTGTTACTACTGACAGGTACAGCAGATACGCTATTCTATGTTAAAGAGTAAAATAAATACATACAATTAATAAAGTGTGCTATATATATAGTTTGGTATAAATGTTGATTTCATAGTGGAAAAATATACATGTGTTAAAAAATAGTTCCGGCACCGTAATTTACAAATGTCCACCTAGCGATAATTATTTTCTACATATATTAATCCAGGAAAGTAAAAAGTATAAAAATTTGAGAGTTTTATTATTTGCGAGTATGATTAGAATTGTTATATTTATAAATAATAAGATATCAGCTCCATGGAATGTGTTAAATACTTTCTTAATATATTTTAATGTTACGATAACTATCTAATTTATAGCCATAAATTTAAATTTAAGGCTTGTGTCATGGCCTTCGTCACTAGTACGAGCAAATTTCGCTAAAATTGGCAAAGTGAAATTTTGGTATAAAAATCGGTGATTTCAACAGTTCCATTATATTGGCAAATTGGTAAATCATCAGAGCAGCCATGAAAGCAGTGATCGTGCTACTACTCGCAGTTGCAGCAGGTATGTTATTCTATGTCCAAAACAATGATAATACTACGTAAAACATTTTCCACGACTCCTTCTCTTCGTTTCTTACAGCTGTAGCCATTCCTATTGATGACGATAGGCAATCCGGTGNTCCAGTATGCCGCCGCGGTACAGCATGTTCCCGGTGTAGGTAAGCAAGTTGCTGGCTTGATAGACTTTTTGTACAAGGAAGGTGGTCTATCTTTCGAGACATTGCAAGTGATCGGTCACAGTTTGGGTGCTCACATCTCTGGGTTTACCGGCAAAAATGTACAAAATGGACGTATTAGTCAAATTACCGGCTTGGATCCTGCTCTGCCCATGTTCAGTTATGATGATTCCTCTAGTCGTCTGAACCAAAATGATGCCGACTATGTCGAATCTATTCAGACGAATGGTGGTCTTTTGGGTTTCTTGAAGCCAATTGGTAAAAGTGCTTTCTACCCCAACGGTGGAAAAAGTCAGCCTGGTTGTCGACTGGATATTGTCGGTTCGTGTGCCCATGGACGCTCATGGATGTACTATGCTGAAGCTGTTGCCAATAATAACTTCGCCTCCGTAAAATGTGAAGATTATGAGGCGGCTGTAGCAAAGTCTTGTGGTAGCACTTATTCTTCGGTTCGCATGGCAGCACCCAGCAACTTTGTCAATGCTTTTGGTGAATTCTATGTACCAGTAAATAACCAATCCCCTTACGGTAAGGGTCAATAAGATTGGCTGCAGGATATTTAGAAATCATAAATTATGAATATGTACATATGTTTGAACTCTTTCTAAATAAAAAACAAGTGAGGGCAGTGCTGTCTTCGCTATGCTGAAGGCTTCATACCTTTCATGAACATCAGAAAATTTTACTTCAACCGATTGCTGCATTTGAAATTAGTTTTTTGCGAGCTAAACAAAATGTTTATATTCACTGCGTACACAGATTGAGGAGTTATATAAAAAAAAAACTGATATCTGAACAATCAGTGGTATGGAAGATATGTCTTATAAAGCACCGATCTAAATGATTTTAACTCGAGTGTATTATTGATAGTAAACCGGTAACAAAATTTAATGGTTTTAGCTGCCTACATCCAAATGAAAGAGTTTTAAAGAAACCCCCCTGTCTCAACAATCAATCTGGCAAGTTGGTGACCTTGTCGTGGGGCCAGAACTTATGTGGTCCATGTCAGTATGAACTAACAGGGATGCTCCGCATGGGAATCTGTGTAGGATATGTGCTTACACAGATTCCTATGTGGAGATTACCGTACCAACAAACCCAGGAGGGTTTCGCGTTTGCGAGGCTACGGGTGTCACAATCCCAGGTACCCCAGTCAAAGGCTACCAATCCTGAGTCGGTTGGAGGCTCAATTGGCTTTCGAAAGTCATGCCAAAGACTTTAAAAAAGGTACCGCGGGCGAACAGATGCCCCTGGAGTGTGTTCGTTGGATAGATAAGCACAGCCAGTGAGACGAACAAGGCCAAAAGACAGGCTAGATGCACATGTAAGATCGTACGGCTGGTAAGATTTGCAAGGAAGAATGTGGCTCGTCAAGCTACTCGAGCGGGTGTAGAAAACCAAAAAAGGAGCGATTCCATGCCTATTGTCCACCCGGGCTGGAAAGCGCTCCCCAGTAAGGCCAGTAAGACATCTGGGGTTAGCGAGACGAGCAGAATGAACGAGGTGAGTCAAGTGACTCGAACAAGGGTTGAAAGTCGATTTTCACGCCGGACGGGACATCCTGGGGTGGATAAGTCTTGTGAGAGGGGCGAGTCGAGCTGGATGAAAATGTTGAAAAATGTTTAAAACTGTTGCAAAATGTTGGAAATGTGGAGAATGTTGTATACGTGGAAAACGTTGCAAAACACGGTGTAAATTTTGTGGTAAACAGCAAGTGTATTCTGGTATAGTTAGTAGGTTACGTGACTCGAGCTGGTCAAGCAAGTCTGGCTGGCGAGCACTACTCCAGTCTGTTCAGAGAGGTCCGGCCCTTCGGCGAGTATCGCGGAGGCTGTAGTTTAATACCCGAATGCGGGAAAACTCGCAAGGGTTCGATGTGGAGTTGCATTGCAACCGGGTGCCGGGACCCACAGAATGGCAGAGACTTTAGGTAGGTTTCGGCCTCACCAAGGTGGTTAGTGTGTCCGACCGACACTGCCTTTGGTACTGAAATGCTTGCATTTCATGGCAATGATTAAGGCATAAATTAATCCGTGAGCTTAACGGGCTCTGTGGAGTTTGGACCGTTGGTCCAAACCGACAAACGGTTAAAGTCTAATCTCTGGACAATGCAGGTATATAGTCTACTAACGCTGTGATCTCTAGTTTTTAAAGTTAATTTTCTAGCTTTACTTTAAAACTACATAACATATATTTCATAACTTTTATTGCAAGCTTAAATAAATGTAATCTGACGAAAAGGATTCCGATAAAACCTTCTGCTACAAGATAAAGTCACACTAATGGTTAGTGAGCAAATTATTTTGAAAAATAAATAAATAAAAATCAAGGATATCAATGGAGTGAAATCAATTTTGTTTTATTTATATTAGCCAGTACAAGTATAACTAATCGTATCAGTTTGTTTTCGTGAATTCAGAATATCAGACCAAATTCTTATGGCCTTACTGACCTATACCATATGGGATCTTCTTGTTTACGGGCACATAAAAATGGTCGAAGGCACTGGCAATGTTATTTGGGGCGGCCATACGAATTGAGGAATAAGTGCTACCACATGAATTCTTGATAGCATTTTTATAGTTTTCACACTTCACCGATGGAAAATCATTATTGGAAACAGCTTCAGCATAGTATAACCATGAGCGTCCGTGAGCACACGAACCGGAAACATCCAAACCACAACCGGGTTGACTCTTACCACCGTTGGGATAAAAGGCAGCTTTGCCAATTGGCTTCAAGAAACCCAAAAGACCACCACACGTCTGAATAGATTCAACATAGTCGGCATCATCTTCATTCAAACGTTCAGCTGGTTTATCATAACTGAACAACGGCAATGCAGGGTCCAAGCCGGTAATCTGTTGAATACGTCCATTTTGTACATTTTTGCCTGCAAACCCAGAGATGTGAGCACCCAAACTGTGACCGATTACATGCAGTGTGTCAAAAGATAGACCACCTTCCTTGTACAAGAAGTCAATCATGGCAGCAACCTGTTTACCAACCTCGGGAACATGGCTTTTCGAGGAAGCGTAATTGAGAGAGTGCGATTTGTCGCTCCAATCTACAGAAATAATGTTGTATTTACCCTTGGACAAGAAAGCATCACGGATTTGTGGGTTCAAGTCAGAATCGGAGCTGGATTGCCATCCATGAATAATGAATTTAGTGGGATAACTATTGTGAAAATGCGAAGCTTTCAACGATTGTACATTTCCGGTAACCAAAGTATCTGGGGTGGTTGGGTTCTCGTTGGTGTACAAGTAGAAAAAACCCGAAGTGGCGGACTTACGACCGGTTAAATCTTCGGATTCGGCCACCGTCATCCAGTTGAAGGATCCGTCGAGTTGGGGCACATACCAGCCATCTTCACCGGATTGGCTATCCTCGTCAATGGATATGGCCACAACTATAAGATACGAAGGAATATTTTGTGTTCAAAGTAAACGCACATATTTTGAAAGTAGATTACTCACCTGAAGCAACTGCGAGTAATAGAATGATCACTGCTTTCATGGCTACTCTGTTTATTTACCAAATTAGCAATATAATCGAAGGGCTGGTAGCGCCGATTTTTATACAAAAATATCACTTAGCCAATTTACATTTACATATACACAAATATGTAGTTATACATAAGAGGCACTTATTTTACATCTGACCAGATGGGGTCTGCAGTACTCAAAGGTACGCGTATATTATCACTTCATCAAGTATGGAAAAAAGAACCATCATGTGACAAATTAAAATAGCTCGATGCACTCCGCAACGCCTCGGTTCAAGCCCTGATCAAAGCAACATCGCAAAAAATATAGAAAAAAGGTTTTTTCTTAACAGCGGTCGTCCCTCGGCAGGCAATGGCAAACCCCGAGTGTATTTCTGCCATGAAAAGCAGCTTCTCATAAAAATTCAATCGCCGTTCGGAGTCGGCGTAAAACTGTAGGTCCCTCCGCTTTGTGTGACAACTTCAAGGCGCACGCCACAATTTGGAGGAGAAGCTCGGCCAAACACTAACATATGTGTAAGCGCCAATCTGTATATATATATATATATATATATGTTTTGTTATCACAAAGCCTTTTGCTTTCTAAGGAGCCCTATGTTTGCATCAATTTGTTGGAGAAGAAAATAGTACAAGTATGTAGACTCATATGTATATAGTTGTACTTAAGTTCGACGTTGCGACAAGCAATTAAACCATCAAAACATGTAAATATGTATGTCGTTATAAAAAATGAATAATTACTTGTGCGCGGGTTGTCGAAAATACTTCTTAATGTCATGACAGCTTTATCCAACCCCATTAAATTTTGATAAACAAATTGTAGTAAAATCAGTGACTCCAGCTGTTCGATTAACTACACTGGTATTTTGGTAAGTCGTTAGACCAGCTAATAAGGCATTATTGATCTTGTTACTACTGACAATTACAGCAGATACGCTATTCTATGTTAAAAAGTAAAATAAATACATACATATGTAAGTCTATTCAGCCCTCCTAAGTTTATTCTGCCAAACAACATTACTTTGAGAAAGTGTGCTATGGTTTGGTGGAAAAATAGACAGGTGCTAAAAAATAGTTCCGGCACCGTAATTGATAAATGTCCACCTAACGGTAATTATTACAACGCTTTTATCAACTTGCAATGTTGTGTTCCAGAAACTTTCAATGTTGTGGATCCCGAAACTTTCAATGTAGTGTTCCGACACCAAAGCAAAGCTTTGAAAAGCTCCTTTAAAAAAGCATAGTGAATAGGGCGAGGTAGATGACATCTAGATGTCGCCCTATGTACTACGTTTGCTACACCGGAAATAGACGACACGCCATTTCTTTAAATAAAATTAATTGGTGCTCGTTTGTATGTACATACATATGTAAATGCATGTGACTATTGTCAACTAAATCGAATGCTTTGTAAGTGAAGTGACTTGTGGACCACTTGAGGTATAGGTGGACCAGTTTGTAACCACTTTGGGACCAGTTGGTAACCAGGCGGGGACCAGTCCGGGATCCGTCCGGGATCCAGTTGGGAACCAGTTCGGAACCAGTTTGGGACTAGTCGGAAACTAATTACCTTCGGCCCAGTTGGGGACCAGTTGGTCTTTTTAAGTTCCTGTGGCCGTTTTAAGGGTAATTCTTGGGCTCCTG